GCTATTGCCGTTTGGGTTGTTTTGATAGTTTTGTATATGTGGTGTGTTCTGTTTTGTGGTAGTTCTTCGAATTAGCGTCTCTTGGAATTTTTCCCGATTTGCCTGGTTAATTAACCATTTTGGTTTACCAGTGTTGTTGTCTTTCATGTTGTTTGTGCTCAAGATTGGGAATTGGGAATTGATCACTTTCTCTGTTGTCTATATCTGTTTCCCATATGAGGTTGTTATTTTAATCTTCTGACGCTAGGGTTATGTCTACTGCCGATGGGCATGTGTAGTTTTTGCTTATCTTGGTGCTATTTCCATTGTTGAGTAGTTCTTAGTTGTTTTCTTGTATGAGTTCATGTATTGCTTTGCCCCATCTATCATTCTTGAAGCTACCCCATTGTGTACTGTGGGCATTGAAGTCTTCCATGAGTATAAATGGTTTAGGTAGCTGATCGATTAGGTCTTGTAGTTGTTTTTTTCGTTTCTGTGGGTGTTAGTTTTCTTGGTGGTATGTATATAGATGTCTAGACTAACAATTGAAATAGGCGGAACAACCAAACGTAAACAATGGCTTTAAACGCAAATTCCTCGAGAATCAAAGCACATTCAAGCAATCTAACACCGTCATCTGATAGGGCAAACTTCCTTTATCGAATGGCATTGTTAGTTTGTGTGGAAGTGTTTTGATTCTCGAGAATTTTGTGTTTAAAGCCATTGTTTACGTTTGGTTGTTCCGCCTATTTCAATTGTTGGTCTAGATGTGTATGTTGTGGGAGCTTCGCCTTTGGTTCTACATGCTAGCGCTTGTAGGTTGGTTTTGGTGTTATTTCTTCGTGTAGTATAGATTTTTTTTCTGGTTAGTGCTACTTCGTTGCTTGCAAGGTTTAGACCTGGTTTTAGGTATCATTTGTACTTGCTTCCGTTGACTATTTTCACATATTTTTATCATTGAACATTGTCGGGTTTATATTTATTGGTTAGTAGCTGTAGTTCTGGAATTTTGCTTCTGAGCCCGCAGATATTCCATTGGATTACTTTGTTTCTTTACTTTCTGACGTGGTTGTCTTGTTTTGTTTCTTTAGTAATTTTTTCTCTTTCTTTGTTCTAGTGCTTTTCCTTCTGGTTCTTGTCCTGCGTTGTTTAGCTTGATTGGTTTGGTCTTGAATGTTAGGCCCTTTCTGATCCAATCTTACTTTCTTTGGGTGTATGATATCTGTGCTTGATGTGTTTTCATCCTTGTCGTTTTCTTTCTTGGATTGCTCCTTTTTCTATTATTAGGGGTGGGGGTATGTACACTCCTATTAATCATTTACCTGTGGGTATCCATTTAGGTTTTGTTTTCGTTACGGGTTGAAATAGTCCAACTGTCCGTATTATGTGGTAAGGGCAGTTTTACTGTAGGGGGTGCCCTGGTGCCCTACAGGTTCCGTTAAGAACTTCCAATGCCGGTAGTCCGTCGTGCATCCCCTCGGCACGGTTCACCTAACACCTTGGGATTTTGAACGAATTATTGTATCATTGATTGTTATTTCTTCATCCGTTAATACCCGGATGTTGAGCGTTCTATGTAGTTAGTTGTAGTTGCGCTAGCTGAGTTTTGTATTAATTCTGCTGGCGCTCTACTTGTTCAGATTTATTCGTTAATGATCGAATAGTAGGCGTTCTAGTTGAGCACATATGTTGGGGCCATCTGCGTGCTTTTCGTACTCCGTTGTGGTTTTGCTCTTCTCTTTTCATCTGTTAATGCCTAGATGGTTTGCGTTCTATCTTGTGGTCAGTGTTGGAAAACTTCGCGATGTTTCACAAAGTTCACCAAGGGAAAATTTCGCGATTCATAGTGAGTTTTCGCGAACTTTTCCATCACTGCTTGTGGTAGTCGTTGTTTTTGGTCGACTGTTTTCATCCGTTAAGGGGATAGTACACTTTAAACGTCCAAAAAGTAAGGCATTTTCGTTAATTTTTTCAAGCAATAAAACACTCAGGGAGGGCAAATATGTTATAACCCATTTATTAGTCATCCTTCGAACTACAATTTTTTATTTTTTTGAACTCGATTGGCGTCTCCCCGTGGCCGGTGCACCAGGTCGGCGTGGGAAAATACTCCTTTCGATGTGATCCTGGAACATAAATCGAACAAAAATCCTGATAAGTAATGAAATTTGAGTTGGAAATACGTATCCCGATTTTTTTTTAAATTAATTTTTTCAAAAGTTGTGGCCTTAGGAAGAAAAAGTCCATTTTTTCACCCTAAAAATGCTTACAAAATCGTGGATTAAAAATCCATTTTTGATAAAATCGAAAATGTGGATACATATTTCTAAGCAGAATTTAATTCTGACCAAGAAAACCTAGGCGATATCCAAATTTGATGATAACTGGTAAAAGTTATTTCCCACGCCAATTTGAAAAACCCCGTTTCGAGATGAACGCTTCTGAAGATAAAATTGCTCTCTCAGCGCGCCGGTACATGTTTCAAGAAATCGCTTCGTAAAGCGGTAAGGAATATTCTGGCGCACTTGGAGTCTTTTCTGACTTAAAGTATACATCCCAAGGAACATTTTAAGCCAAAAAAAAATGCTTTTTTTTGAAAAATCAAAGTGTACTCCCCCCTTAATATCCGGATGGTGTGCGTTCGATATGAGCATATGCTCTTGTTGTTGGTTGCATTATTTTCTTTGGTGGAGTTAGTCGTTTAGATTCTATCTATATTTTGTTCTTGTGTTATTGTTTTAGGTTGGGTATTCTCTTTATCTTGCTCTGTTGTGGTTCTTCAGTATGCTTTGTCACGTAGTGGGCTGATTGGACCTCCAGAATTTTCTTTTCTTTATTTTATTGTGACCGGCCTCGACCGACCTCATCGTGACATAAAAACCTTCCGATTTGGTGGTTTTTATGGACGTCGGTTTCATGTCTTTTAGGCCTGTTTTCATTGTACGTATTTAAGAGATGAACTAGCCTATGGCTAAAAATCTCTCTAATAAAGAAAAAAAAATTGAACGTATTGTTCACTTGTTTTGTTATAACTTTGTTATTGTTCGTTCTGTTTCGCTCCTTTTACTGTCCGCTGTTTTGAGAAGACAGAGAAAGGTTTTGTGTTAGTTTATATGTATTTATGTTCAGTGTCCCATAGTCTGGGATTGTGCTTTGTGCGAGGTAGCAAACGAATACTTTCCCTTACTCTAAGGGGTAGTACTATGTTCTTGTTGTGCTAGTCCCATAGCAACGCCTACCAAGTATTGATAGTGTTTTTACTACTGTGTATCTTTGCCTAGCCTCCCGCTTGTCCAGATAGTCGCCTCGTACGACAGGGAAGGACGACCCGTGGATCTATTCTTACTCTAGCCGGAGTCCACACGGAGAGGAGTCGGAGTCAGTGATTTTAGAAATCAGAGGAGTTGGAGTTGAAGTCGGAAGCGGTCAATTTGGACTGCACAGCCCAGATTTGATCAAATGAATGAAAAACTGTCCTTAAAAGGAAGCTTAAAAACAGATCTTCCACGTTTTGATTTTTCTAAAAATATAGAAAACCAGTTTTTTCCTTTGATTCCTGAAAAAGTTCACATGTAATTTTTGTTTTCTATCTCATCATGAAACAAAGTTGGACTCTAGAGAAGAAAATTGGAAGGTCACTGAAGTTTAATGTCGAGGACGCAAAAAATATCATTTAAAATAAAAAAAGATGATGACGAAGGCAAAAAAATAGTACCTGAAAGGGAAAGAAAGGCCGTATCAGAAATCTGGATGAAATGACTATCCGGAGATGACGTGTTCACTTATTCCTTCGTCCTCATCCGTAGAATGGGACGATGCGATCCTCATTTTTTCATAAAAAGGAAATCCAGTTTTCTACAACTTTGTCTCAGACGTAAGAGCAGCAAAGTCAGAAAGAAGATGAACAATGTACCAAAATTGTAACAGTAGTAATATTAATAAATTCTGCTTACAGCCCAACATTGACGTTTGGTTTCGAGAGCTGAAAAACCAGTCACGCAATCGTGCAATATTGCTAATTTTTATAGACCATTCACACTTCTTCGGGAATTTTTAAGTGCTTGTATACAAAAGTACGTTTGCCTTTTTCAAGATTAAGAATGCAAAATAATGTTTTGACTTGCCAGACTTCGCAGAACTTTTATGATTATGACCTTCATTCATGGGATCCTAACGATATATTCAAACATACTAGGTAGATTACCATATCTAATTGCATGAAGTAAACATGTTTCAGTGTCTTAATTTGGCTTTCCAGTTTCAAACTCTCCCTTAATGAACTCTGCTAATCCACCATTACATATAAGAACACCCTCATGCCCAAGATCACAACTAAATCAAACCTAATTGTGCTCCATTACAACTAATCATTCCAATCTGTCCACACCTACGACCAGTCGATAGGTTAATTGGCCGTAACGAAAACAAAACAACTCCTAAAACCGACAATCCTCGAGTACTTCAATTACAACTGACACCCAAGAACACCGACCACAGCGGTACGTCATGATTTATCGAACGCCTTCCTTTTCTAACCGGGCGCCATTTCTACCACTTCAAGTCAGTCATTAGACTGGATATCGAATTCTCGTGTGTGCACTTGATTCTCTGTACCTACTTACTCAATATACTAGCATACAGCTTTTGATTTATTTCTTCTAAACCGTCATAAATCTACCAGGTTCTAAGGTTTCCACTTCATGCATATTTGATTCGTTCGCACACAGATCATAATGCCTGTGAATTAGCAATCGTTCAGGGTTCCGATACGCTCCTTGGCGATTTCTCTGACGACCCACTACTAATGACAAATTGATATTAATTAAAATTGGCATGACTTAGGTTTTAACGTTACTTATATGAGGACGCACAGTTCATGTAGCGAGTTCGGTAAAACCGAAAAAAAAGTGTATGAAATTTCGCCTGAATGCAGGCAACCACGTGTACTGTATGCCATAAAATAAGCATTTGGTTGCTCGCTCTCTTCATAGTGCACTATTCTCGCTCTCTCCCGCTTTCAGCTTTGGAATGTACCACGACACAGCGAAGACGGGCTGCGATCACCGGATAGGGCCTATCTTGCACATAATGACGCCCAGTTTCGAGGCGGACACCATGCAGGTGTCGTGGTCCAACTGCAGTCGACGGGATATAACGCATTTCTTGGAGTAAGTATTCGTGCTACTCTTTACATTACTACAAATGCACAGAGACTTATGAAATCCAGCATCCGAATGAAATCTATAAGCCTTCTCTCATAAAACGTCAAATTAAGACAATCCACTCTTCCTTCCCACACAGCCTCGGTCTCGGCAAATGCCTCGAAGATCCGCCCAGTCAACAGGACACCTACAGCTATCCGGATCTTCCGCCGGGGGCGATGTACAACGCCGACTTCCAGTGCCGGCTGCAGTTCAACTCAACCGACGAAGAGATGACCGTGTGCTCCAAGCTGGACGAAATCTGCACTCAACTGTGGTGCCTGGTGGACGAAGTTTGCATGACCATGATGCGACCGGCTGCCCCGGGCACAAACTGCGGTAAACGAAAGTGGTGCCAAAACCAGCAATGCGTGGACGTGGAAGACCCCCCGCCCCCGGTCGATGGAGGCTGGGGTGAGTGGAACAGTTGGAGTGAATGCTCCCGCGAGTGCGGAGGGGGAGTTGCTCGGCAGACGCGGGAATGCGATCACCCTTCGCCAGCGAATGGGGGACTGTTTTGCATCGGAGAGCGCGCTCGGTACAAAACATGCAATACCGATCCTTGCCCGAAGGAGATACCTTCGTTCAGGGCTCAGCAGTGTTCCGAGCATGACAACGACACCGTCAAAGGCGAACAGTATACCTGGTTGCCGTACTTTGACCGAAGTGAGTATTGTTTGGAATTTCTTTCGATTTCAAATTAAATGCAGTCATAGTCAAAAAATAACATTTATTCTAATAACAAGTCAGTTGAAACGAAATAAATAAAGTCAACAGAAATCCTAATTAACAGATGGCATCGTGCCTGTGGAGCTCAGCTCTACCAACGCCAACTCCGGTGGTTATTCTCCTTGTGAGTAACGTGCCTGTAGATCGGAACCGGCACTGGGTATGGCTTGGGTACGGGAACCTCAATCTTCTTCAGCACTTCCACTGGAAAGGGTTTCTCAACTTCCACCGGGTAGGATTTTTCCACCGTATATGGCACGGGCCGTTCAATGATCTTCGGCACTATCCTATAGACCGGCACCTTGATCTGTTGTTGCACGTTGACCTGTACCGGATACGGTTGAGGGACGTTGATCTTCACATACTGTGGAACGGCAACCGGGATCGGATGGGGAACGGGGACACCGATCTTCTGATAGACTGGAACTGCATAGTTTGCCTGCTTTTCCGAATGGGTGACGATCGCATTGTGATGAACCTCGTCGCTTTCGCTTCCCAACGAACTGCTATCCTCTATACTGCTGTAATCATCCTCATATGGCGAGTTATGAATGCTCGAGTAGCTGTAACCCGTGATTAGCGGTGCCGTGGCGATGGCCAAAATGACCAGCGTGAGGAAGTGTGCCTGTTTGAACATAGAAAAAAAGTGTGATTATGTGAATAGCGGAAAATAGGGCAACCTGTCATGTAATCGAACATATTTTTGATCAGCCGGCTTGCGAAAAGTAGTTCACAGTAGTTTGACGATCCTTTCTCTTGGGCGCAAAGAATATTGCATAACGCCGTCACTCCCCGATGGATGCAACTTTGCTGTGAAGTAACGCTTCGGTGCACTCCCTTTTGACGCTAGTTGGATCTTAGTGTTATTTGCATTGTTGCAGCCCAAAAGAGAATGTAGATGAATAGCTGCAGGTAATTCCGATAGCAGAAGGTGAAATGATGATTATTTAGGAAGTGCTGCACTTTGTAGTGCAAGTGTTTACCTCCTAAGTAACATTGTAAGTTTTATCGAGGTTTTAAAGTATGTTACAAGTCTAAATCATGGTCTACACAAACCTCATAAAACCAAAATTGTTACTTGGGCTTAATCATACACAGCAATAAAATAATTTTGATATCACATCAAAGTGGATGCACTTCAAAAAGGGGCTGTACATAAACTACGTAGACAGTGTAGGGGGAAGGGGGGGTTGGCAATTATCCATGACCCATACAAATAAAAAAAATTGTACAAACAATTGTCTACGCAGGGGAAGGGGAGGTCAAGAATACCAAAAATCTGTCTACTTAATTAATGAACAGCTTTTTTTTTTCCTTTGGTTTGTTTTTTCCGTCGATCTTGTTTTCCGTGCTGAGCACCAATGCTACCGACGTGCCAGGAAGGCAGCTCCCACACCTGGACCCTACCTATCGACCCATCAACTCATGAACCGGGGACCAACGGCTTACTTCCCATCCGAAGGAAGACGTGATCAGAGATGTTATGCCTCAGAACATCCCGGCGGCGCCGACTGGTATTGAACCCAGGCCTGCTGGGATGAGAGGTAATCACACTCACCACTACACCACCGGCGCCGTTTAATGAACAGCTTCAAAAGACAAAATCATCATTATTACAGTGCATGAACTGACATTACGCTACTTTTACTGCATTTGTTTATTTTTGTGGCCATAAAAATTACAAGAGATTTTCCATTTGAAGTGCATCCTCTTGGATGTGATATTAAAATTTGGATACGATTTGGAATCGAGCTGAGGGTAAGCCTCCGAAAATCTCGGTGGAAATTGTATTACAACTATTAACAGATTGCTTGAAGGACATAGATTTTTTTAAGTTATTTCAGACTATTATTTATGAGGGTGAGGCTGTAAGTTCTACTGTATTAATTAGATATTCCATTAGGGATGTGAGTTCCATCAAAACCAATTTAAATCAATGCAACATTTTGATAGAAGTATTTTAGGAATCGCAGAAAGATTTCATGTGAATATTCAGTTCGATCTCATGGACTACATCGAGATCAACAGAATTTGACTGAGGGGGCTGGCAACCCTGACCAAATCTTTGGCGTTTGACAGCAGCCAACATCTCGGGCCTTATTCCATTGTCTTTACGTGTTGTGGGCCATATTTTACAGCTGAATGTTAACATCGAAAACATGGTTTGACTCCACTCCTCGTAAAAACAACCAGTCCGGTTTTGTCCGCTCTCTCTCTCTCTCTCTGTAGAGTATTTGTTTTCGTTCGATAGTGTTCGCGTCTCTCTTTCGCGGTGTTAAGCGAAACATCGATTGATCTCAGCCAAGGTTGCAAAGACTCATTTCAGCTAAAACAATGTTTTTCTAAATTATGAAATAATTAGATGCCATGATCAAATTTTGAATTGGTAGGATACAAGAAGAGGTTGCAAAGAATGTGTTTGACATATTAAACCTGTTTATTTCACTTCACAATCAGCGATTTTTCACAAACTCACTCACTCACTCACTCAGCGATCAGCAAATCGCTGATTGTGACTCATAGAAAGCAAAATTTACAGGTTTTATGTTTCCAACGCATACTTTGTAACCTCTTCTTGTAATTTACAAGTAAAACATGCCATCATACCATCTTTTGGTTTTATTATTCCGAAAAACATTATTTTAGCTGAAATGAGTCTTTGCAACCTTGATCTCAGCATGGGAAAATCGCCGCGTGGTCATGAGGTTGCAAGCTCGTCCGGGAAGCGTCCCCTGCAGGAAACCGCCAACGCTCAGTCGGCATCGAAAAAGCTGCTGTCAAACAACTGGTACGCCATTCTCGAAAATGGTGATGAACCGGAAATAAAGAAGGAGAAACTACCACCCTTCTTAGTCAAGGGATTCCCGCCCGGCCTTCAGAAGAACATCAAATTCTACATCGAGCAAAGCTTGAAGTGCACCATGCGCATGTACACTGAAGGCATCAGCAAGGAAGTACTACAACGCCATGGAAGAGCTACTGAAGCGGGAAAAATGGGAATATTTCTCTCACGATGTCGAGGAAGACAAGCCGTTCAAGGTGGTCCTGCGTGGTCTCGTGGATATCGCCATGCTGTCGGATGAGCTGAAGAAGAACGGCCTAAAGCCGTTGCAAGTCTTCAAGATGAATCGGCACGACGTCTCCCGTAAGTACCGTGACCAGTTGTATTTGGTCCACCTCGAGTGAAACACAACGTGTTTCAAGGACCTTCAGTGTGTTCGGGCGCTTTTCCACAACGTTAATTGGGAACGCTAACCTCGGCCCGCAACGTCACCCAATGCTCAAACTGCCTCATGTTTAGGCACGGGACCCAAAATTGCTACATGGCTCATCGCTGCAACGAATGTGGCAAGCAGCACGCACCTGAAGCATGCGACAGGATGGAGAACGCCGATCACAATGCGCCAACTGTGCAGCACATCGAGCTACTAGCAAGTCTTGTCCGAAGCGTACGGAATTCATGGAAATCCGCAAAAGGGCCTCCACGCAGAACGTAGAACCAAGGAACAACACGTGCCGGTATTCGGACAGGTAAGCAATACTCTGAACCTTGATAGAATTACCAAAAATCTCATCAGGCTCCGTAACTCCATGCGAAGGCAATATCAGCGATCTGGTTTGCGTGTCTTGAAGACCCAACCAACCCAGTGGTTCATCTGATAACTCCTGAAGAGAAGGCTGCCGCGATAGGTCAACACTTCGTCGCCTCCCATAATCTCGGACAAAACATCGTCAGCCCTCACGAAGCCGAAGAAAACAACTTGTTACTCAAGGAACAGTTTGGTTTTCGGAAAGGTCGTTCGACCGTCCACCAGCTGACTCGAATAACAAACATTCTCAGACGGAACAAGTCTATGTCGAAAACATCTTCCATGGCGTTGTTGGACGTTGAAAAAGCGTTCGACAATGTCTGGCATGATGGCCTGGTGTTCAAATTGCAGCAGTAAGATCTTCCAATCTTCCTAGTGAAGATAATAAACAACTATCTATCGGACAGGATGTTCCGAGTCTCTCTGAATACCATCACATTGGATGATTTCAACATCGGTGCTGGGGTTCCACAAGGAAGCATCCTTGGCCCCATTCTATTCAACCTGTTCACCTCCAATATGCCGGCTCTCCCTGATGGTGGATCGTTGTCTCTGTTCGCAGATGACACATCCATCGTCTACAAGGATAGGGTCATCGGAGCTCTGACTGCCAAACTTCAGAGAGGCCTGGACGTCCTGTCTGAATATTTCAACAACTGGAAGAACCGCACAGCAAAAAAATAATTTTGATATCACATCAAAGTGGATGCACTTCAATAGTGTCAAGAATATGGTGAAATATTACTTGCCAAAGAGGACAAAATTATCATTAATACAGTGCATGAACTGACAGCACGCTGCTTTTACTGCATTTGTTTATTTTTGTGGTCATAAAAATTGCATGAGATTTTCGACATGATTGAAGTGCATCCTCTTGAATGTAATATTAAAATTTATTTTTTGCTGTGCAACGCGGCATAGACCCAGGTCATCATCTTTCCACACTCTAAATCTCCAAGACTTGTTCCGTCGGAGAATAATAAGATCTGCCTGAACGGCACAGTGGTTGAATGGTCAAAAGAGGAAGTCTACCTAGGCCTAACATTAGACAGCAAGCTGATTTTCAGGGAGAACGTTGACAAAACCACAACCAAGTGCAACATCTTGATAAGATCATTGTATCCACTCATCAACGGATAGAATACGGAATGCCAATCTGGGAGAGTTGCACAAAAAGTCACCATCTCATACAAAGGATCCAGAAAAAGACCCTTAGGAAGATCGTCAATAGTCCATCGCGGACTAGAAACTCTGAGGTCCACCGCCTGGCTGGTCTTCAGACACTGTGGAGTTACGGAGAGCTGACTCCAGCGCTAGGTTCAGAGATTGCTGTAGGCGATCCGATCA